TTGGTTACATAAGGCTCCTTGTATTTCACCTGTGGAGCAACAGTCACACACTGTAGCAAAACAAGCAAGACTATGTCTGGAGCAGGAGCAAAGGAGAAATCTTCACCACACTTACCCCACTGAAGTTCTTAAGAACACTGTCCACTTGATACTGTGGAGTCTCACAATAGTTAATGCTTACTCCTTTTGCTTTTTCATATGGTTCCTTATATAGCCTCTGCAAGAGTGAAAAAATAGAAGTAATCATGCATCAGGGATTTAGACAATATTTCTTATATGCATGATGTTGTCTCCCATTTAGAAAATTTTGCTATTGAAGTGTTGGTTATCTTGAGAAATAATAACAAACATTTATGGGAAATAAATAGCATAATCAAATATATGAAAAATAATAGTCAACGGGCCAATAGGAAGGAGAAGACTAAGGAACTTGTAGTTAGATGGATTTGACAGGCGAAAAGTTTAAGGAACAAAAAAAAACCACTGTTCAGTATGTATATCATACAGCCAATATATTTATATTGAAATTAATTATAGAGTCAAGATTATAATATTTTTTTAAAAAATGTTTAGGACTTGTTATTCCATACTCTGTCTCCTTGCTTGTAATTTCCTGGAATCCAAGGAAAATGTTGTATGCCTCCCACACTTCCTGTTTTCACAATATACTATACACTTGGGTTACTTACATCGCTTTGCAGCTTGGCTACTTTCAGCGAGTGCATGATCCTAGGATCATCTTCAACACTCAAAGCTCCAACAAGCTTCCCTTTGCTCTTTTCATAGCCCTTTTTGTACTCAACCTAATTGGGAAATGAGAATGACATAGTTTCGTATGCTATAAATTTGTATAAAAATAGAAAGCCAAGAATTGCCTTTTTTACAATTCAGGGTAACACTTACATCACTTGCAATTTTTTGTTTTGCTTTGGCAGCCAGAATCGGGATAGCATCCATTTTGATATCAAACTTCTTTGCTTTGGATTGATCCCAGTCATACTTATACCAATTCTAACCAAACGAGAATTGATAAGAAAACATAAGGGAAGTATAGCATAAAGAATCGAAGCAGCCATTTATTGTAGAAAATATATAACATCACAACAATCTGGCATGTTCAAGTCATGCATTGAAATCAGCGCTGCTTCGGAAACCTGGTTTGTAACATGCATTACTAATATATATTAGTATTGAAGAAAAAGAAGTACTAGGTTCATCTCTGTGCTGATTTCATGAAATGACTAGATCCCTCTTGGTTTTTAGAGATTGTATATTGATTCAGTAATAGTTGTATCAAAAAAAAATTCCATTAACAGTGTTGAGTTATCCACACAATGTTCCTCTTATTTGTTATCCATTGGTGCACATTTCTCTTTCCTTTAACTCTCTATTTTCTTTGCTTCATTCTATATTCTTTCTTCATCTCTACTGAATTTTTTGTTTCAATCATTCCACCTGTCAGTCATTTTCTCACTTAGCCTTTCCTTTTCCTCCATTTCTTTTACCTGCTTCTCTCTCTTTCCCTCCCTCCCTCCTTCCCTTCCACCCTCTCTCTCTCTCTCTCATTCTCTCTCTCTCCCATTCAGTCATTTATTTTTTCCCTTTTAAGGATTTCTTCTTTTCCTTACTATCTTATAATAATTATCCCCAAGATGCCATCCAAATACAGGATTCATTGTGTTAATAATTCAAAGGTATTGTCCAGGTATGCCACCTTCCTTCCTTAGTGGATTTTTCATGGTAATAAAAAATGAAACAGACAGTGAGATTGGGAAGGGGGAACTACAACAATGATAAATAGAAGATGAAAATCTCTGCTCACCCATTGAATTCTGTAAATATGAAAGAGTAACTGCACCATAATAGCCACATCTGGAATAACTAGTTTAAACCAGCAATCAATTTGTCTGTCTGTCTGTCATTTCTCTCACTCTATCTCTCTATCTCTACTTCTATCGCTAGCTTCTATCTATCTATCTATCTATCTATCTTCTATCTCTATTATATATGTCATGCCCATGTCATCACATATATCTATTATATCTATTTATCTATCTATTACCTATCTATCTATCGATTTTTACATCACTAATATTATAATAGTAGTAATTCATAGTAGTAACACTATTATTAATTATGAAATTTAATTGCAAGGACAGTTGTCCATAATACATACATCACTGATATTATAAGAATTGACTCTGGCCTGGAGAAGCAAAGGAGTATCTGGAGGTATGGAACATCTGGATTTTTCTGCCTCATGTTTGGCTTTGTAATTCATCTGAAATGCAGAATAAGCAATGCCATAAAATGAGTTCACGTGGGTGAAAAAAGTTGAATTACAACACTATCATGTATTGCTAACACGAGATCTGATCAAGACAATGGATTCAAATGTTTCAACTCAAATATTTCAAAAGCAAGCCATAGTTAGCCGTAGTTCAGCAACATAAGGATGTCTATTGGTAGACTGGATCAGTATAAATCATCTGGAATGAAATATGCCTCGCATGCAGACAGAACAGTTTGCTTGCATTTCTATGATACAGCTTCTTCAATAAAAATGGTAAGAGATAGGGAAATTTCTGGCTGGCATTTGGATGTGTTGTCATTAAGACTTGAGGCAGTTTGGAGCAGTGGTTAAGGCATCAGGCTAGAAAGCAGGAGATTGTGAGTTCTAGTCCCGCCTTAGACACAAAGCCAGCTGTGATGATGAGCTTTCTCTCAACCTTAAGAAGGAGATGGGCACAAATTACTTCTGAAAATATTGCCAAGAAAACTGCAGGAATTAGTCCAAACAGTCACCAGAATTCAAAAACCTGATTCAAAGACACAACAAGTCATTAAAACTGGTTGCTGGAGTCTAAAATGCATGGCACCCTCCTATTGTGATATCTTATCTGTGTGAGATCTAACTTACTGTTATGTTAATAGAAATCATGTATGCAAATGTAATGGCAGAAAGCCAACTTTATTCCCCTAGTAGTCTTACTACTGCCCCACAAAATCAGGTGTTATATGTGTACAGAGGAGGAAGAAAAATAAATTCCTGTCTTATTGCTAGAAGTCTGGCTCCACCTTTCAGTTTATTATAATGTCTGAAAAAGTGGGTTTTTGTGCTTTAAGATTTTTTTTTTTTACTATAGGACTTAAGACATGAAAGTAAACAACCACCATATTGAAGAATATGGCAGGATAAGTGAAGAGAGAGAGATTCCTCTTACACCAATCTCCATCAATTTCTTTCTATATCCTTCTCCACAATATCCGATTCCTAAGATGACACAGTCCTGAAGCAGGACTGTGTCAAACTCAATCACATCACATGATTGTATGTACGTATCACAATGTTTTTTGCCTTTGTGGAGCCGGGGTGGGCGTGGCCTGTGTGTGATGCATCTGGCCCACAGGCCACCAGTATGATACCCCTGCTCTATTGGAAACTAACCACTGTTTATTCAAGATGCAATATTCTACTGCATAATGCTTCAAAAAGCAGAATAGGTATGTCTCTTGGTCAACCATGAGTTATTAATTCTCCCTTTCATTGTTAAATATGCAGTATTATGGCTGGAAACATTTTATCACACACAAAGTTTCATGAAGTATTAAAAACCAGAGAAGAACTCATTCTTTAACTTGCAGGTTAACTTACATCACTTAATTGCTTGGTATTAATCTGTGCTTGTACCAGAACAGGAGAATTCGCCACCTGAGTAAACTTAATCTGATCTGGAGGTTTCTTGTAGACAACCTGGTTGAAATGAAAGCAAAGCATAATGAATATTCAAGCTGCCGTGCTATGGTCTTCCATTTTTGGATCAACATATACAAATGATTAAAAAAGAAGAAGCAGCATTCAGAAAAAATAATAGCACTGCAGTTAATGATACTGATTGAAAAAAACATCTAATTGGACAAAACCTTGATATACTAATATTGTCTGGAGTACTCAGGGGTTTTATATATATATATCAAAGCATATAATCAAGACATCTCAGTATGTTTTGCATCTGGAATGATAGCAGATTTAAATCTATATGTTGCATCTAGAATACATTCTCTCAATAACTCACATTAAGATTAATCAAGGGCAGAAGTAACAGTGGGAGGGAATCACTGGCCTCTGTCTTGTGATCACTTCTGAATCCATTTCATTATCCAGGGAGATAATGACTAGCAAACCAGAAGCTAGTCAGATATTTATAAATCTGGCATAACTAGATATGTCATAAACAGCTATAGCCACTTCTGGCTATAGTTAAGGCAACTTACCTTTTTTGCAAACTTAGCCATGGTTTATTTCGACGGTTCAATAAGCCCTACTATGGCAAGGCTAAGGGCATTGTGCAAATACAAATAGGCTATAAATACAGTAGCATGAGCTAAATCAAAATGTATTACAAGTAGTCCTCGACTTACAACAGTTCATTTAGTGACTGTTCAAAATTACAATGTCACTGAAAAAAGTGACTGAGGACCATTTTTCACACTTACGACCTTTGTAGCATCCACAGGATCATGTGATCAAAATTCAAATGCTTGGCAACTGGTTCATGATCATGACTATTGCTGCGTCCCAAGGTCATGTGGATACCTTTTGCAACCTTCTGACAAACGAAGTCAGTGGCAAAGCCAGATTCACTTAACAACTGTGTTACTAACTGATCAAGTGCAGTGATTCACTTAACAACCGTGGAAAAAAGGTCATAAAATAGGGCAAAATCAACTTAACAAATATTTCACTTAACAACAGAAATTTTGGGCTGAATTGTGGTCATAAGTCAAGGACTACCCGTATTTCCTTCAATTCTGAAAGTTTTCAGCCTACGATAGTTATGAAAACATCAAAAGTTTTCAGATGCTCAATTAAAGAGATGTTTGACTTAATTACTATTCAGTAACGTGAACTATCCTTAATCCAGCCCATACGTATTGTCACTTAATGTGTTTGTGAGTGAGCGAGTGTACAGAGTATTAAATTTGATCATCTACAGAAAGTGAATTGAATTGATAAATAAGATTTTGCTTGAGAAATTATGGTATATGACCCAAACACATGTTAACCACTAGATGTCATGAGCTGCCTATAAATTAATATGATGATGTAAGATGTTAGAAAGATACCACTTGAAGACAAACTACACATTACATGCAAGTAAACTTTTTTTTAAATTAATACAAAGCAACCTCTTCAGGCTGCAATTTTCAGCCAAGACCAAGCAAATAGCATAGACTATAAATAGTTCAATTCAATTTTTTTTTTTCTTATTTCACTCCTTTATTCAAAATGCCAGTTCTTCAGTATACCTGTTGGAATAATGGGACTCAGTGATGTGATCCTAATTCAACAGTTTTCCCCCAAACGTCATCACTCTCCTAAACAAATAATTCCCTCAACATTGTCAAACTATTTACTAAGTCTGCATTACTATTAATCCTCCCATCCTTCCTTTCACCCATCTCCTCATACTTATGACTGTACGACTGTAACTTTGTCGCTTGTATCCTTACGATTTATATTGGCTGTTTCCTAGCATGATTCGATAGCTTATTGTACCCTATTAAGTGTTGTACCTTATGATTCTTGACTTGACGAATGGATCTTTTCTTTTATGTACACTGAGAGCATATGCACCAAGACAAATTCCTTGTGTGTCCAATTACAATTGGCCAATAAAGAATTCTATTCTATTCTATCTAACATAGACCTTGATTCTTAAATACAAAGCAGAATAAATATTCCAATAGAAGATAGCTTTTTTCCACTTCTGTGCAATATTAAAACATAACCAGTGGTCAGATTTAAAGGGTCCTTGGTGTTTTCTTGCAGATGTTTCATTACCCAAACTAGGTAACATCTACAGCACTAGCACTGATGATGTTACCTAGTTTGGATAACAAAACAACTGCGAGAAAACAAGCAAGCTCAGAGAGCATCAAAGAGCCCCCATGTCAATCCTGAGCTAGAAACAGTCAGATTTAAGTCTGTGTTCACTTCTGCAGGTCCAGTGTTTGTCTATCTTCAAAACGCATTTCATAATGCAGGCATTCCAAACAGAAATGGTATTCAGCAGATTTTGACCAGTTCAAGAGAACCGGTAGCGGAAATTTTGAGTAGTCTGGAGAATCGGCAAGTACCACCTCTGACTGGAGATTTTACAGTATTCGTCCCCTGCCACACCCACCATGCTGTTTTACCGGTAGTAAAAAAAATTGAATCCCACCACTGACTCCAACTGCTTGAAATAAGTTTTGAAAGGCATGCTTTCCTCCCTCTGAGGTTCTGAGCCATACACAAATACGAGATTTCACAGCAGTTCTTACATCTTTGCATTTGTCTAGCTTCTTCTGGACTTCATATTCTTGAGTCAAGGTCTGGGGGAAGTAGCAGTTAGCCTTTTCCTCTTCGTAGTCTGCTTTATAGTTTTTCTAGAGAAACAATAAGGGATCAGTAACCATTAAAGAAACAGCAAAGCCAGATTAGGTAGACAGAACTCATACTCACGTCACTCTTCATAGCGGCCACCTTCATGCAATGTGCTTGATAGGGGTCTTCAAAGGTGCCTATGTACCGGCCCAAGACATTGGCTTTGTAAGGCTCTTTGTATTTGACCTAAAAAAAACAACAACCAGAATGCCATCAGTTTTTTATAAGAAACTGCGTGACTTGATCTGGAGCGCGTTAAAGAACTATTTCTATCACACTTACATCACTAAAGTCTTTCAGAACATTGTCGATTTGGTACTTTGGAGTCTCACAATAGTTTATACTTTTTGCTTTGGCTTTCTCGTATGCTTCCTTATATAATCTCTGCCAGGAAAAAAAAAGAATATCAAGTATTATAGCAGTATTAGCATAAAGAGGAACACAGAAAAACAAATGTAAATTATTCTGCTGATTATGATGCCATCAAACCTGTGCTGCCTTCAAATGAAGCAAGAGGGTATAGAATGCAATTCTTTATTTTCAGTTATTTATCTTATCCACGTTATGAACATTGGGAAAGAAAAGCATTTCTGGAAGAAATAAGAGAACCAGCATTCTCTTTTCTACGATGAAGAAAAGTACAAGATTTCTGTACAATTGCTTCTTCTAATAAAAAGAAAACCCCTTCTTCCATATGTCTCTTCCTCCCTTTATTTTGTTTTTAACTCAAAGCTGTGTCGCTTCTGGACCTGGGGATAATATTTGAATGGCACAAGCTCTGAGATTTCGTTTTTTCTTGCATTCTCTAAGCTTTGCAATGCTCTTTATTACGCTTCTTTTTTAAAAAAATATGGTTATAAAAACAATAGAATACAAAAGGAAGAAAAGAAATAAGAGGAAACACAGGTAGTCCTCGACTTACAACAATTCATTTAGTGACTGTTCGAAGTTACAATGGCACTGAAAAAAAGTGACTTACGACTGTTTTTCAAACTTACAACCATTGCAAGCATCTCCACATGGCTATGTGATCAAAATTCAGATGCTTGGCAACTGGCTCATATTTATGACAGTTGCAGTGTCCTGGGGTCTTGTGATCCCCTTTTGTGAGCCTTCTGACAAGCAAAGCCAATGGAGAATCCAGATTCACTTAACCACATTACTAACTTAACAACAGCAGTGATTCACTAAACAACTATAGCAGAAAAGGTCCTAAAATGGGCCAAAGTTCACTTAAAAAATGTCTCACTCAGCAACAGAAATTTTGGGCTCAGTTGTGGTAATAGGTTGAGGACTAACTGCACAAGAATAATTACTAAAGATAGATTTTAAAACACATAGTGAAAAAAACTTTCTAGGAACACATCCTTTCATTTGCGTCCCCAACCACTAACCAGTTTAAATACTTGAACAATATGGTTGTTATTGGTTTCTGTTTAAGTCCTAGAAACCAGATTCCCAATCTTGCCTTGTTAAAAGCCCAGCGTTATGTCCATGTGTAGTCTTCAAAATACTATCAACCCTGGACACAGGTTCCTGTGATGCCTAAAATTTAGATAATTTTAAGCTAAATTCCCCAAACACCTCTTCATAAAATCAAAGTTTTTTTTAAAAAAAACCAGAGTAGTCTGAGCCCTGTCATTTTATGTCATTCCCAATTCACATGTGCTGAACAAAATGTAATCCCAGAGCATTTTTTCACTCGCTGACTTGGCTCGCGATATACCTGGGGAAGTGAGACACTCTCACAGAAGGTTTACAATATGAATGCAACAAGGGAGAAAGCTGTATCTGCAGTCCCCTTGTGTAGCCATTGTCCAAGATTAAAAGATGCACAGAGTTGATATCTCTTACAATACAAATGGAATAGAGAGCAAGATATTTTTCGTAGATATTATACTTTGGGATTCTGTGGTAAACATCGTGTGTTTGAAGTAAGCAAGCTATAAGCTTACTGTCCTCAAACAAGATCATGTATCTTGTCCTACTTTGAGTAGGGACATTCTACTCAAAGGAAATTTTATTATCTACTCTGATCTAACCAATTTGTTGATTAAATTTTGCATTTTCATAACAAGACAAGAGGTCTCACAGCAAACCTATTAGTAAAGAAACCTAATTTTAAATAACATATAATGATGAATTGTTGAAACTTTGTTTTGTCAAACATCGCTGAGGGGAAAAAAATAGCACACTTACATCATTTATATTATTTGAAACAGCTTTTAGATGCCTGAGCATTGGATTCTCCGTTGCTGGAAGTACATTATAATCTGCTGAACCTTTGGCTTTTTCATAATCTTCCTTGTATTTTATCTAGAAAAAAAATAAGGGGAAAAATTAATTCATTTTGGTGTAACCTGATGACCTTTTTATTTGGGCTTTTAGCTCAAAGACTTTTTTAAAAATGGAAACATTCATGTACCATTCTAAATCAAATACACCGGCGTCTCTTAAGAGATGCCATCTGTTCAATTAAGAAAACAATTTCAACTGGAAAATGCTATTTGTACTTGCATTTGGCAAGTACAATTATTCCATAGTCAAAAAACCATTGCTGATGAAATATAACCAGAATGGATTGTGCTTTCAAGAGTTAAGTACCTTTTGTCATTAGCAAAAATCCTTTTCAAGTTCTATTATCTCTTCTGCTAAACTTTTATTACTAAATCTAAAAAGGATAGTAAACACTCAAAGATGAAATGATGAACATTACATTCTCAATAGCTAGGATCCAAAACTTAGCACAGTTATACTGTTGGGACACATATACACACATGCGGGCACACACGCATACACACACACACACATACACATCAACAGAAATGAGGGAGGCAATTTTCATCCTTTTCCATATGGTCTCCTTTGCCTCCCAGAAAAGTAGGATGGTGACTAAGAGGAAAACATGAATCAATGAAAGGTCTCTCTTCCACCAACAAGTTTCCATTGGATCACCAACATAAGCCACAAAGGAATTTAATTTTTGCAGAACTCCCTTGTTAAGCTCAAACATATTTTCTTGAACAAAGTCAAGACCTAACAGATGCATCCAAGTCTAACTTAATAGTGCTTCACATAAAATTTTCCTTGACCACCAAGATGAGATGAGAGACTGCACAGTATATATGGAATACCAGCTGTATAAATGAGCAGAATATTCCCTGATTAGTAAATTCCATCAGAGTGGAAAAGACTGGGTCAAAAAGAGCATGATGCCAGCTGTAACCACATGAACAAAGCCCCTTTTTGTATATGTGTCAATGTCACAAGCAAACAGGGGCTTTGTTCATCTGGTTGCAACATCCATCTTCACTTCTTGACCCCTCCAGAAAACATCCCTATGTGTGACACACTTTCAATTTACACAGAAATGCCTTCATTTCAATTCAACCCATGTGAGATGACCAAAAGCTTTGGACTACTCCTGTTTTGGATGGGATTTTATTACCTTTATTGTCAGAGTACAACATGTGTACAATAAGATTGGCTGAGCCTCCCTTCATGCACCCAACTCAGAGTGAGGACAGAAGTCCCTAACCCAGTCCCAATATTATTACACTATGTGACCTTGTTGCATAATGTGCCAGCCCTGCAAGTCTATCATACTATGTTGACATTAAGTTATTTTCCATTCAGAAGTCTGACAGCCCACGGGTAGAAACTGTTCTTCAGCCTGTTGATGTGGCTGACTATGCTTCTATATCTCCTACCAGATGGTAGGAGAGTGAAGAAGTGCTGACTGGGATCTGAGTTGTCCCTGAGAATTTTCTTTGTATGTAAACTGAAATATCAGAAGATTCCAAGCACATTATGGGCAAGGCCACCTCCTGATTTTCCCAATGGATTCGATGTAAACACATAGCTAAACTTATTGTCATACCTTACTGGCAGCAATTCCAGCACGCTTATTAACTGCATACTCCGGTGTTTCTGTCTGCATGAAATAAATATTGTCTTTCTTCGATTCCCAGTCTTCCTGGTATTTTCTCTGCAAACAGCAGAAAGTGCAAGAATGTACAGCTCAAAATTGGAATTTTATTAGAAAGGCAATCAATCAATATAAAATAGGGGGAGGGAGAAAGTGGGGGGGAAAGCAAACACAAAATGGCATTTTGATATTACCAGGCTCAAGTTGTCAGAGTTCATTTTGGCAATTGCGACATCATAGCATGGTGTTTGGCTCCATTTGCCCTTCTCCTTTTTATAGCCTTCGTGATAATTGTGCTACAACAAAAAAGAGAAAAATATTGGACTGTAGATAAGCTACTTTAGAAAAAGAAATATATTCTTAAAGTAGGTTTGCTTTCCAGCTACAGATGAGCTATTGCATAATAGATAGTAACTATAACTTTTTTGGACTGTTCTGTCTTAGGGATGTTTGATAACATAATTGTTCTATAGCTTTCCAAAACCTTCTCAGAAGAATGGAATGGAATGGAATAGAATAGAGTAGAGTAGAGTAGAGTAGAGTAGAATAGAATAGAATAGAATAGAATAGAATAGAATAGAATAGAATAGAATAGAATAGAATAGAAATATTTTATTTGACCAAGTGTGATTTGACACAGAAGAAATTCGTCTCCAGTGCAGAAGTTCTCAGTGTATCCATTATGGAAACCTTCCTGGAGAAGTCAGTCTGGTACCTATCCTGCTTGCTTCTGATGCCAAATATAACTAATATGGAGGGAAGGGTCACATTGCATTCCATTAAAGATATAGCACTGAATTTAGTAAGTTTAAATTTATGGTTGGATAATAAATTATGAACACATTAATAATCAATAAAATCTAATTATATATATATATAAATATCAAGTTTATGAGTCATGCTTCATGAATCTCATCCATTGTGCTAAATGCCTGTTTCTCTCCCGTTGTTTTTTTTAATCTTATCAGGCATTATTTTACATGGAATCAGAAAAGGTAATCTAAAATTAGAAAGGGAGATTTATTTTAGCTTCACCAAAACAATGTGTCTTTAGAGGCTCTTTCTATACATGAATTACTCTACAAACACAAAAATTATTCAAAATGTGCCAGGAGAAATTTCAACAATTAAAAGTACAAGAAATACCTTCACCATACCTAGTCCAAAGTATAAAGGCCACTCCAAAAAAACATGAATGTTGCCCTATTAAACAAACCTAAGTTAAGATATATAAAAAGGTGGAACTATGAAGTAGTTGCCAGGGACAGTGGGCTAGAAACACCATTCTTGGTTTGCCACAGTAGAAAGAATAGTCTGTGGAATCTGAGGCAGCTTCATATTTGGTATTATCTGGACTACATAGATATTCTCATAAATGATACAGTACCTAATTCTACTGTAGGTCAGCCCCATAGATAGACAAGCAAATCAACTCCACAGCAAGGAATTGATATCTCAATACTCTAATTGCAATTGAGTATACTAATAGGATCTTGTGATGTTCTGATTGTGATGTTCCTCCTCCTCCTCTTCCTCCTCCTCCTCCTCCTCCTCCTCCTCCTCCATGAATTAGGGAGTTATCTCCTTGAATTGCATCCAAATGTTATCTTGCTTTTCTGGACTGAAATATATTTCAGTTCCTCTTGCTTCTGTAATAATTCTTGCATTTTCCATTAAGGTCAACTTCCTTACTCTCTACAATGCTGGAAGTCTCTGCTTTGGCCATCCAACCAATTCTAACCTCCAACCAATCTGTAAATCACTGCAAGATTGTGAGACTGCTTGCAGGATTGCCTCTTTCTGTAAAGTCTAAACACACCCTTACAATCTTCACTGGGCCCTGACAGGTCCTGGCACACTTATATTTCAGTTATTGGCCTCAAATCATTAAACAGCTTCCTGTTGGAACTTAGGTAGCATAAATTTATGTATTTATTTATTATAAAATGTATGTCTCTCATCTCCTTGATAAATCAACTCAATCCTTACTGTGGTTTAAGAGGAAGCTTAAAACAACTCTAAATTGGATTCTATTCTATTCAAAACTTTGAAAGCTTCCTAGGGACATAAAAAGGGAATGAGTAATCTAGCAATAATAAGCAATGTATTGGTTGATAATCTTTATGTTACTACAGGTAGAATGGGAAGAAGCATTATTGCAGAATGATTGGGATGGCAAGGGTCAAGATCACTGGCACATGCAAGGCTCAAAAACCAACCACTGTGTCAACGCTGGTGACCTCAGCTGTTTTTTGGCTTAGCTGAGGCACGGCAATCCGCTCTGCCGTGTGAATCAGCTGAGCTAAAAAGCAAGGGAATACAGGAGAGACAATGGCGTGGGTGGGTGACTGGGGGCAGCGAGAGGTGGTATTTGCTGGTTCTCCAAACTACTCAAAGTTTCTACTATCGGTACACCAGAACCAGTCCGAACCGGCTGAATACCACCTCTGTTCAAGATTCACCTGTAAAGGGCACTGATATTTTCCCCTCCTTGAAAGATACTTTACAGATCCTTAATTACTGTCTTGCTCCCAACTCAGGTGAATACATTATAATGAATTCTGTCACAAAATACTCACATCACTGAGCTGTCGAGTAACTTTCTTGGCAAGCTCCACATCAAGTGGGTCAGGCACAGGCGTGTATTTTGATTTCCGCTCATCGTGGCCTTTTTTGTAAACAATCTGAAATCGTCAGGAAAAGAAGAGGGCTGATTATTTAAACAAGCATACTTATTCTTGCAACCTGTCTAAATAGGAGTTAATTTTCATGGAAGCAAAATATGCCTCTGTTAATTTAGCATAGTTATTTTAGGATTTTATACCAGGAATAGAACAAGATAATCAGAGGAAGCAATTGTTCAATTCGCTTGGCTTTTGGCATGCTAGGTGGTAAAATTTGCTCTTTACTACAACAAATTAGCCATCTTTATAGAAGTTAATAAATTAAGAGTTGGTGTGGAAAGTTTCTACTGCACCATTTATTTTAATGGGCTATTTATTTTAATGGCTCGTGTTGGGAATATATACTTTCCAAAATGGGAACATTCTTGCCTTCGTTCCTTCAAATAAGACTCAGTAACTATATTCTTCTAATTTTCTTGGCAGAATAGAGAAATGACTTGCTGTCATCTTCAGTCCAGTTTTTTTTTTTACTTTTGTCTAACCTACAGTTCTGGAATGTCCTTGTAGGTTCCCATTCAAGTCTTAACTCAGGTTCAACTCCGCTAGGCTTTTGAGATCAGCCAATGTCAAGTAAGTGCTTCCAGAGACTTTTTCTCTATCATCTTCAATGCACTGTCCATCCCATTCCAGGGCCTCCTCTATTGCTGTGACCGTGCCAAAGGGCAAGACAATGTGCTACATATAGCCTTCTATTTCATTCTTGCAAAAGCCCTTTCAAGATTGGTCAGCTTCTAAACATTGCTTACCCACTAAACAACATACTGATGCAAATCTAGATTCTTCTAATCCAGGGGTTCCCAACCTGGGGGTGCGAGATGATATTCCAGGGGGTGCGAGAAAAGTTCCAGGTAAATTATAGAATATTGGCTATATGTTGGCATTTTTATTTTCTTTTGCAATGGATTAACTTAACTGAGCAAAATATAAATTTCAGGGGGTGCGAGGTTCGAGTGAGATTTCTTTAGGGATGCGGGGCGAAGAAAAGGTTGGGAACCACTGTTCTAATTCATCACTCTTAGATCCCCTTTCCCAAATGTCTATGGAAATTCTCAATCATCCAGGTCATGGTTGTCCCAAATGTGCTTTCCCAAAAAGCAACTGGAGTTTCATGGTGTCATGCCCCTGTTGGAATCTGATTCTGAGGGGGAAGTCGAGCTGCTGACAGGGAGTGGGAGTGTGGCTCCAGTGGCTGTGGAAGAAACCGTGGGTGGGCGCAGTCTGGCTGGGCATTCAGAGGAAGTCCCAGGGCCACCCTTTCTTCACCTAGGGCACGCAGGGAAGAACGGAGAATGGAACAACATGAGTTATGTGGTTTACGGGGGAGGAAAGGGCCCTGATCCCCTTCATTAGCTGCAGCTAGGAAAACTATGCACAGCAAAGTTGCTGAAGGCAAAGTGTGCATTATCTCTGTTTGTCGAGGGTTATCTGGGTTCTGGCATCCTCCTAACTGTGTGTGTTTCACTATCTTTTGGAAGTCTGCAATTCCTTATCCTGCCCTGTCTCGTTAATTGCTGCAGCATGGTTTGTGTTGGTTTTTATTTATAATCTATATTTATTTTGGGTTTGGACTGAATTTCTTCCCTTTAAAGACTATTCTTGGGAGAGTTTTTCTCCAGCCGATGATAACCGGACATTGGGGACCAAGTTGGAGGTATTAAAGGGACTTTACCTACTTTTTTGACTTTGTTGCTTTTGTGCCACGCCCCGGGTCATCACACTTGGTTTTCACTGAAAATGTTTTGCTTCTTCTCAGTGGGTTTCCAAATTTTTTCCTACCAGTTCTATGAAAGCATGCTTTGCAAGTTCACCCAGAAACCGGCCTCTATGTCAGCGCTAGTGAGATGAGCTGTTTTTTAGCTCAGCTGAGGCCCGGCAATCCGCTCTGCCATGTGAATCAGCTGAACTAAAAAAACAAGGAAATATAGGTCAGGAAAGGTCCGGGAGCGCATGGGTGGGCCCAGCCAGAGGTGGTATTTGCCGGTTCTCCGAACTACTCAAAATTTCCACTACCGCTATGTCAGAATCGGTCAGCATGGCTGAATACAACCTCTGCTTCTTCTTGGATGAGAAACGAAACATTTTAAAGGAAAAACCAAGAATTTTCTCTTTTCCTGTTACTTACGTCACTGAGGGCCTTCTGTGCCTTTGCAACTCTCCTAAGTTCAGGACTGTCATCATAAGGATAGAAGAGGGCCTTGTCTGCTTCCCACTCTTCAGTGTAAGGTTTCTGAGGGAAAAGTAACCATGAAACTCATTAGGCCCAGGCTGGAAAGAAACACGAGTTACATAAGAAAGGATCACAAATTCTTCTAACCAGAAGTACACCTACCTTACTGAATAAGGCTGTATTTTTTATGGCATGAACAAGCTCAGGAGCATCAGGAGGAAGCAAGTACTTTTCCTTATTTTCTTCCCAATTCTGTTTGTATAAAACCTATAATGATAAAAACAAAAAAAATACCACATTGGCTAAAGGAACTGTAAAGAAACTCCTTTTTTTTAAGTCTGATTCTTCATAAAGTCCAACAATAATCCAATTCACTTGCCAGGATAGCTGCCAATCCCTCTCTTTCCTGGTACTGCTTCTGAACATCTCAATGTTCCTTGACATCTTTTATACATAATTGCCTAGCCTTGATTCTTCAAAATTACTGTTTAAAAACACAGAACAAACTCAAATTTCTACTATGTTAAGCTGTTCTGTGAAGGTAGGCAGCCTCAAAAGGTGATTTACTGTATTCATTCACCTAAGTGAATAAATGAGAATTTGCTAAAAAGACATTTTGTTCTTTTTAAATCATTTCTCCAGTAATAAACAGATGAGTCATATCTCCAGTGCCCAATCTAATAACCAAGGTTGTTGATTGTGTCCTTGCTTCATTTTGTAGGACAATGGAAGAATGTTTTGGTCACAATAGCTGATACTAACAGTTTAGCGCCAATCCAGAAAGACAGGAAGCGACTATACTGATACTGACACAAGACAATCCCTTGTGTGAAATGTGTGGTTTATGTTATCTAGAATAGGGAGGATCAGCACCAGAGATGGTATTCAGCAGGTTCTGACCAGTTCTGGAAAACCAGTAGCAGAAATTTGGAGTAGTCTGGAGAACCGGAAAATACCACCTCTGATTGGAGGTTTTATAGTATCCTTCCCCTGCCATGCCCACCAAGCCACACCCACAGAACCAGTAGTAAAAGAAATTGAATCCCACCACTGATCAGTGCAGGTATTATCATAGTCTACCTATAGCTTGGATGTATCAGGCAAATCAATTCCTTCAAAATTAAGCTGCATCGTGGTAAAATTACAGTTTCAGGGAGAAATAGAAGCCTCAGCAACCTTTTTGAGACCTCTTGGTAACCGATTAAGGAGAGTTTACACTTATTTCACTGTCCGGGTAAATATTTATTGGGGAATCAGGAGAATAAGGTATTATTTTGTATTTCAAGCATTAAACTGAAATAGGCAATGTGACTTAGACTGTATCACCTGAAAAACTGAACATCTGAATGTGATGTTGTTGATGACTCCAAACAAACCAGTTTTGCCTAACCCAATATTTTCTTGGTGCATCGGCTTTCAATTTCTATCTTTCCTGATTCAAAAGCCATAATGATTGCAAATCATGGAACTGTAATCCAAAGTCCCCAAAGAGCTCCAGTTTGGTAAAATCTGATATATATTGCCTATATTTTCATATATATTTCCATTTATTCACACAATACTATTATTTCTTTCTAGGAAGACAAACAGCTGACAGGGAGTGGGATTGTGACTCCGTTGGCTACGGAGAAAACTGGAGAAGGGCAAAGTCCAGCTGGGCAGAGCAGGGAAGAGGTAGAATAAGGGAGAGGGAGTTCAGAGGAGGACCCAGGCCCACCCTCTCTTCATCCTAGGGCACACAGGGAGGAACGGAGAAGAGAGCAACATAGGTTGCGTGGCATACAGGGGAGGAAAGGGCCCTCATTCCCTTCATTAGCCACACCTGGGAATGAGAGTTTAAAAGAAATGCATGCTGAGTGCTGCAGCTGCTTGGAGCAAACATGAGTTTATCTTGTGTTGACTTTGCTTATCTGTGCCCCTGGCGTTTTCCCAACCATGTTGAATTATTGCTGTGCCTTCACGTCTGGACTTCTTGCTCCTGCCCTGTCGGACTAATTACCTCATTTTGCCTTGATTGGACTTATAGTTACAGTTTTTGTTGGCCACATTTTGGACTTGATTCTCTGCAGCCAAAGGCTGTTCCTGATAGAGTTTTTCTCCAGCCAGAAGGTAACCAGGGGATTGGGGGCGAAGTTGGAGCTAATAAAGGGACTGCTACTGATTATCTGACTGTATTGTTTGTGCCATGCCCCGGGTCATCACAATGTGGAAGGAAAAGTTGTGAAAAGGCATTCCATCCATCACAGGGATAGTCATTGTTTAGTGACCACAACTGGGGCCAGCACCTCAGTCATTTAGCAAAGCAGTTGCTAAATGAAACCACAATTATGATTATAATCTTATTTCAGATTTCCTTTCCTTTACATATCTGCAAAGGTCACAAAGAGAAGATTGGTCATAAAGGTTTTTTTTTCCTCACTATCATAACTGCAATGGTTGCTAAAAGAAGCAGTCAGTGAATGAGGATTATCTTTATAACTGCATAAACTTCTATTCTATTGGAAAGTTGGATGACAAGTAATAAAACACAGATATTGTTGGTATGTAATAACAGGTTTTTCTCATAATTTTTCCAAAAACAAACCATTTGAGCTGCATAAGCACCACTTAAGGTTTTTTTTTTTTTACAAATCTCAATAATTTCTACATCACAGGATAACTTACCTTGCTGACTTGCTGAGAAACTTTCTTTGCATGCTCAATGTCTCTTGCTTTCTCATCAAGGTGGCAATCGGTTCTAGCTGCCTCCCCAGCCATGCGATACTTAACCTACAGAAAATACATACAGGCTACAGCAGGGGTTTCAACCTTTTTATACCTACTGCCCACTTTTGTATCTCTGTAAGTAGTAAAATTTTCTAACCGCCCACCGGTTCCACAGTAATGGTGATTAGGGGACAAAACCCCTACCGCCCACCATGAAAGCTGGAATGCCCACTAGTGGGCGGTAGGGACCAGGTTGACTACCACTGGGCTGCAGTATAGAAAACTTAAAGTTTAGAATAATAGAGTTGGAAGGGACCTTGAAGGTCCAACCCTCTGCTAACAGTGAGGTTAACAGTGCATCAATCAAACAGCAGGTAAGGAAGTAGGGGAACCCAGGCACCACACAGGCTATGTAGAAAGTAAATTAACACAAGGTCAGTCAAAAAGGACTCAAATGTCTACACACCAATGCAATAAACGGGGTGAATTAGAAATTCAGGTAAATGAGGGCGGATATGATATTGTTGCCATTACGGAAACTTGGTGGGATGAAACCCACAAATGGTACATACAGCTAGAACTCATTACAACTGTAGTAAACCATTGCTTTGCAAACAGAAAATGGAGCCAAAGCAAACTGAAATTAAGTTAGCACGTAATTAATGTGATTTCTTCCAATTTACTTAGCATACATTTAAAATAAAAACAGTGCTAGCTTTTGGGAAAACTCTTGGAGGCCATGTCAGAGGGTTTGGAGATGATTGGCAGTGTTCTTATGCTGAGACAATCCATAAAAGCCAGCTGTCAGGTGTGAAGAAGCAAGACCACATGTTAAGTTCCAGTCAAGCTAATTTATTACTCATGCTATACACAGGAATTTAGTCAACTAATAGCCAGCACTAAATTGGTGCTAGATAAGAGCCAACAGAGGGGCTGGTCTTGGATTCCTTGCGGCAACCTAATGACTCCAAACTGATTCCTCTCTCAACTCCCCCATCCGGGCTCTGCCTCCTCTTCTCTTACACCAGCAACTTTCATGCCTGTAGTATTTTTCAGATGGTCAAGAACTGTAATTTTAACCTGCAAGTATGTGGTAAGAAGTCTCAAATTTCTAGCTTCAAGCAGAGTCTGCAGTTTCCTTGGCCAAGGATTTAGCAGTATTCATATCCTAAAGTTCCAGGCCGGCTTACAGTAATATCATGAGTTGACTTGCTGTCCTGACTAGAATTAAAACAGTATTACCTAGTCATGGTTTCTTCTTCTTCATCCTTACCTCACTGAGCTGGTCCTGGACTTTTTTAATTCTCCGATGTAGGGGAGTATCAGTTGTTATTCCACATGGTTTTCCTTTTTCTTTTTCAAAATTTTCCTTGTACTTTTTCTGGGAGCAGAGAAGACAGCAAAATGTAGATCTATTTTTAGCATGTTGAAGTGTTATGGTTAAGAGTCCCTGTGGAAATGCCTTGCGCTTAAAGCTTTAATGTATTTCTATAGGTGGGCGCATCCGAATTAAATAAACTCTTTTGATTTCAAATCCCACAGTTCCTTACAATTTGCCAAAAAGGCTTAACTACAGGTAGTCCCCGACTTACAACAGTTCATTTAGTGACATTTGAAGTTACAATGGCACTGAAGAAAACTGACTTATGACCGTTTCACACTTATGACACACACTTATTGCATCCCCATGGTCATGTGGTCAAATCTCAGAGGCTTGGCAACTGACACATATTTATGATCATTGCAGTGTCCTGGGGTCATGTGATCCCTTTAGCAACCTTCTGACAAGCAAAGTCAATGGGGAAGCAAGATTCACTTAGCAACCGTGTCACTAATTTAACAACTGCAGTGATTCACTTAGCAACTATGGCAAGAAAGGTAAAAAAATGGGGCAAAATTCACTTAACAAATGTCTCAGCCCAGTTGTGGTCGTATGTCAAGGAGGAAATAGGAAATAGACTCCATAAGATCTGGGGACATCGAGTTGGTATGTGAGTAGAGGGGGGTGTATCTGCAGGCATGCATACAAACGCAGATATATCCCCATGCATAATTAGATGAAAGTTTGATTTATATATAAATTGCATAATGTTCTGATTAAGAGACATTTTTTTCCTCCAGATTTATGGCCCTACAGATCATCTTTGGCTCCCTCTGAACGTACTAAATTTATGCTCTGAGTACAAAACACATGCACACATCCACAGGGAGGGAGGGAGAGAGAGAGAGTTTAAAGAGATATAGATGAGGTGAATTAGGTTATTTCATTTAGCCACAGAAATTACGGTCTGAATAAGGAAAGGCTATAAATTAGAACTTTTTCATATTATTCTAAATATTAAACTGGGATGACCCTAAGCTTTGATACTTTCTGACTAGCTTATTCCAGAGACCAGGATTTCCAGCTCCCCCTTGCGCTATAATAATTGATAGCTATTATCAATTTCTGATACATTGAAAAAGTAACATGTATAAAATAAATATTTTTTTCCACAAGGATCTTTTTAAAAATTGACTGAAACTCACTAAAGTAGGATTAAACAGCTTTGAATTTGAAAAGATATAAATGTCTGACTTACATCGCTGAAGAGCTTTTGCATTTTTGAACTGTGATCCAAGTAAGGTGTCCGAAACTTAGATGTGTCCACTTTTTTCCGTACAACTTTTTTTCTGACAGGATGGGAGGCCTTGTGAGAAGTGTCTATGGCTTCCGGAGGTTGTGTTGTACTATCCAAAGTATGTGTTGTGGTTCTGGTTGTTTCATAAGTATGCGTTCTTGTTGCTGAAGGATGTCTGCTTGTTTCTGAAGTATGTCTTGTTGTTACTGTGTACGGTGCGGAGCCAGTGCTGTATGTGGTCGTTGTGATCTCAGTAGTCATCTAGAAACGTGGAAAGGTGTTTCAAATTTATCTCCTGACTCAGTTTCAGAGCCTTTTTAGTCGATATTTGTAGAGTTATAATTGACTATATTCCTGATAATCTTTTGAAAATCAGCGCAACTGCGATACACTTCGTTGAGAACCAGTCTTTGACAATTTCCAAAGAATTTTCAAAATTAGTAATCTAGCCACCACAATAGATTATATGAATGATTTAGTTTTTTTAACCTTAAGTCATTTCATATGGCTGTGTAATGTATAAAATTACAAATTTAAACTGCGTTTTCACCTATCCTCAAGATAAATAGTGAAAGCAGAAAATTCCCAAGATTAGACCACTGGACAGGGAATAACGGAATAGTTGTAGAGACTATGCAAAGAATCGTTCATACAGTGATCTATATGACTACTACATGAGAGTAGTCATATATGACTACTACATGATAGTAGTCATATAGCTCCCATATTATATTCAATAGCATTATATCCTGATATTCTTGAATTCAGGAAGGTCCTTTTGACATGTTACATCTATTTTTCTGAATTGAATCAACCATGAATTTTATTTAAAAAAACAAAAACAAAAGACATATAACTTTCTCCCTAGTCCTCAGTCAAGTTTCCCTTCAATTTGAAAAGTGCTTTATAATGTGCACGTATCATTCAATTTATTCCTATAAAATGAAATATTTGTTTTCTAAATAAAGGAATTGGTTTATTCAACCAAGTCTTTTGGATTTTACAAGGATTTTCTTCACCATCGTTCTCACTTACATCAGCTTGAATTTTGACAATATATATATGGAAACAGACAAATTCCCCCTTTGCTTTAACCTCATTCGATATTAGTGAGATTATTCCAAAATGTATAAGAGAATTAATCTATGAAAATAATAAGCCTCTTTTTTTTATATTTTCTGAATATATGCTCAAAGGTTATTTTATGAACTATTCCCCTAAAGTGAGATACACACAAATAAACCGCATAAATTCAGAATCATATAACTGTATTTCTCCATCAACACAAAAATTAATGTTCTTAATGAAGAAATAACTTTGTCCTGTCTGTCCTGCATCAGCCTGTAATAATAATAATCTGTAATCTAATCTGTAAGATTCTAGGATCCTCCTAAGTAACTCTGAAGTCTGGAAAAGGAAGCCAGGGATTGTGCTTCTAATATTTACAGTCATGCTGATATCATAAACAATGCTAGACTTCTAATTAAAAAAGTATATTAAAAGAATTGTCAGGAGGAATAAACAACAAATGTTTAGAGTAAAATGATGTTACAGTATTTATCTTCAGGTTGTTCGTGACATTTATGAAAACATAACCCTGAGAAGAAAAGTCTTGTTTCAAAGATGAACACGATGAACAACATATGAATAAGTTATGCAACTTGAACAAGAAACAAAAACAAGAAAACGATATTGGACATTCCAAAGTGAATTTACATCAGACAAATGAATGGAAACACACTAACAGAAATTTGCAGGAAGAAATATTCTGTAGATACATATTTATTCTCTTCTTCGCTGAGTTGTCAAATTTCCCCTTCCATTTAGTAACCTCTAAGAATTAGTGTTTTCCCCTTTGTTTTCTGGTAGATGGCTAAGATTTCAAGAGCAGAGATATATATCTATACATTTTAGACCAATCATACCATTCAAGCCAATCAAAAATTACTCATCCATTTCACTAGGATGCAGGCATCACTATACATCTGCATCTCCCAAAAGAAAATAAAGTGTTTTTAAAACATCTCAGCTAATATTTTACAAACCATTGAGTATATGGACAAGGAAAAAAGTTCAGTGTAATTAAAGACTGCTGCAAATTAAGGTAAATAAAGGTAGAAGTGAACAATTATACATTAACTAAAACAAGCCTCCAACTTTTGTTGGAGGAAAAAAAATTGGATTTTCATTTATTTGTCTTTTCTCCTACATCTCCCCCCCCCCCCCCCAAAAAAAAAGAATGTAGGAATCATGCAGGTAGAAAGTTACTTAACTTATTAACCCAAGCTACATTTTTCTCTACCGGGGAATCAGAGCCTCACCTGAGTTAAAAAAGATTATTCCATTCATGTAGAGTAGGCCTAAGTGCAGGTATTATCATCTATTGCACCTCCTAACCACAAAATTTATATGCCTGGCCCTTACCATCAAAAAGTTGCCCATCATTGCATTTAGTAAAAGACACTCAGAGCAAGATCATTATTCTGTTATATAAGTTGTTGATTGACTTTTTCTTCCCAGAGGTTATTATTAGATTACTCTACTATGTAAAAAAAAATCTATTAAATTATTTTATATTCTACACATACACACAAAATGCTTAAAAAAACATTAAATTCCACAAAATCAGACATTTGTGCATAAAACAGATGCTTTTACCTCGCCTGGTTCACCCTCGACCTCCTCTTCTATGTAGTACTATAAACAAAGAAGAAACCTCATTATTTTTCACACGGTCATTCATAAAAACGTGTGTTTCCCTTGAGGCAAAGAACATAATCTCAGTCTGAAGAATGAAGTGATTAATAAGGATGTTCCGTGGAAAGTGCTCAAAGATTTAGCTGCTGGTAAGATCCACGGGTGTTTTGTTCCATGAACACCAGTGGATTTGTGGCTGCCAATCGCTCATAATACTTAAAACTGTTTAAAAAGTGACTTTTTCTTGTATCATAAAAAAATTAGCTATTAGATCCAATTGGTATTAGATCCAATTCAAGAATTCCAAGACTTCACATCTCCTGCTTGCACTTAAGGAATTTTGGACACCCATTGACTTGTTCAGATATATTTTAAAAGTCATGACCCAATGGCAAGCAAACAGGATACATGAGTTCACCAGATCATTAGCCATAACCTGAAATCATGATCAAACACCACCCTTTCATTGTATGTACTATTTCGGGTATTAAGGAAAGGAAGAGATAATCCAAAAAATAATTCAAATACCAATGCAGAAAGCAGTTAAACCTACAATATTTCCAAAGTGATACATCTGCAACTCTCACTGACAATCTTGCATTTAATTGTTTTCTTGTGAAAATGGCGTTGTAAGAGAACTAAGCAACCCTGCAACAGGAAAAAGATTTTATTCATCTGTGAATTCTTTTTAAAGGAAATATTGAATGTCCTAGGAACATTTGTCATGGACTATTCATTTAAGTTTGCTCTTGTAAAAGGAAAGGTTTTCATAAAATGGCAAATGAATTGTCAAAACACGATCATAGTTTACTAGAACAACAGTTACACATTAAATTTTTTTAAATATATTTCTTAATTAGGGCTGTGCAAAGCTCCACTGAGATTATTCGAATGGATGACTCAAATTTTATTTGAAATAACTCAAGCCAGAACTGAAGCATAGCCAATACTCTTACAGAAGTTCTCTTTGATCTCTCAGGACTGTTTATGCTTCAGGGTGAATTATCATATTTAATTTCAAGGAAGAAGGCATTGAATTTCAGAAGAAACCATGCCTGAACAAGAATTACTGGACAAAAAAAAAATCTTATCAGCAATCTAAAACAATCCTTTCTCTGAAGGGGGAGAAAAACCTCTCTGATAGTTCTGCACAATATATGTCACTGACCAAATGGAATACAAGCTATCAGTCACCTGTATCTGATCTCCTACAAGCCACAAGGAATTGAATATCTTGATTTTTCTGTCTGCCTGCTATATTTGATAAGCTGATTTAATTTTTATGAACACAACTGACATAAGTATACTGTGCATATCTATAGGTCTTACTCGTGGATACTAACTCACATTTAATAGACTATATTATATTAGACTAGCTCGATATCCATGCTTTACTATGAAACTATGTGGTTGGGCTTAGTTTTGGGGGAGGAAAATAAGGGGGGGAAATTCTGCCTCTGCCTACCAGTATCCATCAGTATTCATCTGGCTAGTGTCCTGACAGTGTGTGAGAGAGTTGAGGCTGTTTGGAAACTGAAACAGTATTAGCTGTGTGAGCAAGGAGACAGCAAGGAGCCTGGGCATGGCTTAGTTTAACTGGTCTGTACTAAAGCTGCTTGGTGCTGTGAAACTGTAACTGAAACTCCTCTCCTCTGCTTGTGCTTTGCATTTGGAACAGATTTCTTTTCAGGTGGGGAGGGGGAGTAGAACTCCTTAGCAACAGAGAGTGTTAATAATAATATATGAAATACTAATGCTCTAATGGTCATTTCGAAAAATCCTTTCTTAGTGAGCACCTAGAAACGAAGAGGAACATATGTGCCAAATTTCAAGTTTGTAGGCTTTACGATTCTGGAGATTTTGTGATGATGTGTGCGTGGTATTTCGCTTTTATATATACAGGTTGTATCTTACAACTGTTGTGTTTTTTCCTTCTAGGCTATTTTCATGTTTTGAATTGGGTCTTGTTACTACTGAGAGAGAGAGAGAGAGGAAGAAGTTGCTATTGTATCAGGGCTGAACTACTGTTTCTCAGTATCTTAACTAAGATAAAGTTCAATATCATGACTGAACTCAAATTCCACAAAAAGGACTCCGATGCCTATGAAACAATCTAGCTCCCAGAAAAGTACAAACGAAATTCATTTCCCTTGATCTTCCAAAGAAAGCAGGATAGAGGTATAAGAAACAAAGAACCAAGATGTGGAAGACTATTGTAAAGAGGGATTGATGACTGCAGTGTTTTAAGAAGATTTTTTAAAGTCCACTTAATCACCTCAAATCAATATGCTGATTTCAACACAGGAAAGAAAATGGTATTATCATCCTTTAAGATACATAATGAAACGAACAATATCTGAAATATTCTCTTGTTCATGAAGAAGCCAAGAAAGAACTCAGTTGCAGCTTGTTTATGTGGATTTTATACTCTCTTTTGGAACTACTGCCTACAAATTTCATCAAATTTAAGCAGGTGTTCAGGGCAAATCTAATAGAAATGAATGTACTAAGACCAGCTATGTCAATAAAATGTTTCTTCAAATCAGCTAACCTAAAAAAATGGGACAAATCATTTTGCTAATAAGACTCCATTCATTGTACGTTACACCAGTACAAACTCTTGTGAAAAGCTCTCAGCAATATTGGAATGTTAATAGTACCGGTGAAATATATTAGACTAATTTCATAGGAGGACCTTCTTAAATATGAGTCAGGGTAAGTAAAGAAGAAGCAGAAATGTTGAAATGGCCCAGAATTATCTTTAATAATAAGAATGAACTTGCATCGTTATTAGAAATGTCCCTGCTTTAATATTAAAGATAGTGCCAAATTATTTCCCCAAACTCTTTTTCACTAATACTATAGCAACTGCTAATTTTAGCCTAATTTTGCCGAGCATCAAATCAAGCTTTAAATTAGCAAAATATTCAAAGTGCATTTTACTTTAAAACAGCATTCGTCACCATAAGAGTAAGCTTAATTCACCAAAAATTATTTAATGCATTTGGTTAGAATTATTCCTCCGGTATGTTGAAAAGTCTTGAAAAATGGAGATGTAGAAGATGCTAATGCCGTCCATGTAGGTCCCAATATAATTCATTTCCATGTCTTTCTTTTACTGTTTGACCTTATCAGATTCATTTTATTGATCGGCCTAGACTTTTAAGCATGTATTCCGCCAATAAATTCTACTGGATTTCATGTATTTTTGGTATTAAAAGATTTATCGTGCTCAATTTAATAGGATCTAAAACATTGATTAAATTCTCAGACTTAGTGCATTAAGGTTCCTCTCCATTTCCATGAATCACATTAACAAGAAGCCTCCAAAGATACTGGCACCCTTCAACGGAGCCTGATTCACTGCCACTCTTTGCAGATGATTTATACTTCTCCAGGTAACTTTGTCAAGGTACTGTTTATTTCAAGCTTTACATATAATTGGCTCTTTTTATGAGAAGAATATCAGGAGATTCTCCTGCTTTTTTCTTCACTGTGCACCACTTAGCCTGGTGCTTGTACAACTAACAGCATGCATATCCCTGCTAAAGCACTACCACAAATAGTGGAAAATCCCAAATGTGCTTTTTCAAAAGGCAATTGGACTTTGTTTTTCTTTGAAGATATTTCTCTTCTCATCCAAAAAGCTTCTTCAGTTCTGACAACCAATTCCAGTTCTGACTTCTTGGATGAGAAGCGAAATGTCCAAGGAAAAACAAAGTCCAGTCACCTTTTGAAAAAACAGCTTTGGGACAACCATGACATGAATGACTGAGAATCTCCATAGATGAAAAGGAAAATTTAAGAAAATTTTGGGGAGGAGAGGGAAGAGAATGTGTGCGTTCATTTGCCTTTATAAATGAATTGCTATTTCTGTTTATTAATTCTATGTCAGATTACATACATACAAATGTACATCTGTGTGTCTCTGTGTTTATGTGTGTATGTTAGAGAGAAAGAATATTTATCCCAGCATGGAAGAAAAATGAAAGCACCATTTTTTTTCTCACATGGCTTACTGACCAACTTAAAATTGGCAACCTGGCCATCACGCCAAGCAAAAACAGAGCCTTCTTCTCACCTAAGTATTCTGCATTAAAAAGTCCAAATCAAAATGAAAAACATAAGCTACTTTTAAGAGGACTCTACTGCATGCCCTTTAAAATACAAATTTATCTCTTCAGAAATAAATACTTATTTTGCTTTCTAATATGTTGCACGTTTAATTCTGGTTCGCACAAAATTAAAGCATGAGGGCAAAAGACGAGCGGAAAAAAACCAGGAAGATGATTCTGGAAAAAGTCATCTTGTTTAAAAGTAAAATTAGAAACAATTGCAGCCTTTTTTAAAAACCTGCTACAAACATCCCAAGAGGCAAGAGTTTTGAAAAAGACAGACATCTGAAGAGACAATGCAACAATATAAAACTGAAATGATAATATGAAAGATAAAACCACTATTAGTCTTCTAAGAGACAGACAATGATAAGACAATGGGCATGGCTATCAGACATACATGAGATGGGAAGAAGAAGGAAGAAAGAGAAGAGGGGAGAAGAGAGGAGGAGGAAGAGGAGGAGGAGAAGATTTTTGTAATAAAAGTTAAAAACATTTCCTTAATTCTGATGCTGGTCATCAGAAATATCGAAAAATTTTACTCTAGTAGGATGAATGTGCAACACATTCAATTTGATAATCAATGTGCATCTGGAATTACAACCCAAGACATGCACAGAGAACTGGCATGGTAAAATGGAGCCTGGCAAGGAAATGTACCCATGATTTTTCACACAGATCCTATGTAGGCCAGTAAGTTGTTGCTAGATAGAATTACGGGCATTTTAAATGCACATATGAATGTTAACATTATTAGCATCATTTATGCTGTATTTTTCTATATATATATATATTTAAAAAGGAAAAGGCTTAATCTGCAGGAAGATGAGGAAAGAAAGGGCATCACTGGGCATTACTGTCATCATGCACTCTTACAACCTCATGTCCTAGGCCTTCCCTTGGAGTATCCAACAGCTGCTGGAGGCCATTTAGAATATATCAATTTCTATAACTGTCCGGTCACCAGCTCTGAATTTGGAGACACACTCACTTCTGAAGCAGCCATCTCAAGTTCCTGACCTGCCATTATTTGCTGTTTCTTTGAAATAATAAACTCATCTGCATAGCTTAAGGCGGTAAATCAAACATTTAAGTCTTACCTCCACAACCTCATCGTAATCGTCTTCATCTGCCATCTTTGCGGAAAGCCTGTCCACCTACTCACTGGTAACAATGCAAGTCAGATAAATAAATATCAGCATGATGAAGTCAATGTTGCTCACTTATCAAAGCTAGTATCTCTATGTACTATAAACATATTGTAAGAATGCGTTTGCACACACAGAGACAGACAGAAAGACATACAGAGAGAGAGAGAGAGTGAGATAGGCAGACAGACATGCATCCGTAGTTTGTTCAACAATATAGGCTAAATATTTAATATTTATTAAGATTAATATTTAAAAAATATTGTTCATAAAACTTCAAAATATTAATAAACCAAGAACATTATCAAACCTTTCATCTTTCTAAAAATATATTAAAGGGATACCATTTATCTTGAGATGTTTAGCATCAGATTGCTATTATCCCTTCATAACTTGTATTTCTTTCCAATATCTCATACACAGAGGAAAAAGCCAGTTTCTTATTGTGGAGACATTGGCCTCCTTCCATGTTTTAGCCAGTAACATTTTTTGCAAAAAAAACAACAACAACCAAATTGCACTGTTATTTTCCTTTATGAGCATAAATATAGCAATTCTGTTTAATAGAATTGCTTAGGATGCAGACAAGGAACAAACATAGATTATCATATCTACCAACTCTCTTGAGTGATGTACTTGTAATGAAAAATTAGATATCATAAAGTCTCTTTCTAGCTCAACAGAGTATGTTAAATGGAATATATAACAATCCTGAGGCTGTGCATTGTGCACTGAGAATTCATGCAAAAACATTTGCAGGGAGATGAATAATTGACAATTCTCAGCCAGCACCAACCAAAATTAATGGTGCCCCATTAATATTTCTTGAATGGACATTCACTTACGGTTTTGACTGTGAACTGCAACTAGAAGATCCTAAATATGTTTTCCAGCAGCTAGAAATTAATCCTTAGGATAAGGATTGAGCCAACATGGTACCATAGAACAAGAGCATTGCAATGAGGTACGCTGGCTAGGGCAGGGACAAGAAGCTGAAGAAATTTCCACTTTAATTGTGTTACAGACGAAAAGCAGCTTGCTAGGTCACTTCCATGAAAGCTTTCCTAACCTAGAAATTTAGTTGAGCTTTCCCCCCTCCCCTTGTTTTTCAGATGCTGCCACAATACCTGCAGGCCAATGTAACATTAATCTATATAAGCTAATAAACTTGGGGTCTTACTTATACAACAGTAAACAACCACAAACATTAAGTCATACAAATGTTGTTCAAATGACCTTAACTTAATGAAGTTAATTTCTCTCGTCCCACCATTTATCTGCAGGGATGCTCTCTTGCTTTGCTTCTGGGGTGCTTGATGTGTTTCTCCAACTTCAGTCCTAGAAAAGATCCAAGACTCTGGTTATTTAGATGGCAGAAAAGTGATGAATGAATGAATGCCTCGGAATGAATTAATGCACTGGAATGAGCCTGCTGTGAGAGATTGCAGGTCCCTCTTTTCTGGTGCAGGGAAGATGAAGGGTTAGAACAGCTGCTTCCTAGTACAAAAATATTTGCCCTGTAAGCCAATACGCCAGAGTGATTGCCTGGTTTTGTCTAGTTAGCTGAACTGCCATTCCTTCTGAGGCAAGCAGCGCTCCAGTGCTGTAGGTTAAATATAGGCCCTTCAAATGCTGCCTTTCCTTGTGCCAGTTCTGTTCAATCAAGGTGATATATTAAAAAAAAATAATCAAAGGATAAAATATTTGTTTCACCGAGGGAATAGGACAAGTCCTAAAGGAGAGAGAAAGAGAGACTTCCAGAGAGCTTAGCCAAAGGAGCCATTGATCTCCATGTGCAAAATATTTCCAAAGAACAGAGGCAAACTCTCATCTGCTTTTAAAGCCTCATCAAACTCAGGACTGATCTCTTCCCAAGCGGGATTACTTTGATGCTGAAAAAAAATGTGTTAACATTTGTAAAATAGTAAAAAATAAAAAAAAAACCCTTAGGGCATAAAGTCTGCAAACAAACAGACAAACAAAAGCAACCGCAAACAATCATTTGGTAGAAAGAAAACCCCAACCTGTCTTTCTTTAAAAAAAAAAAAAAAAGTAAAAGGCGCAAGCTTACCCGTTATATTTAAATAAATTTCCTTAGGAGCAAAGCCTCTCTGACTGTCCTCCCTCCTGAGACAAGCTGGGCAAAAGCAATGTTAGTCTGATGCATCAGCTCCTAAACCATCATGTGGTCGGGGGGAGCCAATCAGGTTAGGCGTGCTCAAGTTTCAGATACTAAATATACATAGTGACCCTTTGGAGGACCACCTGTTCGGTAAACCCTCCAAGCAAAGGAAAGTAGCTCATCCAAATCATTGCTTTGGTTGTTGTTTTTTTTAACTCAATCAAAACACAGCAAAGAGCATCAGCCCCTTAGAAACGGTTCAACTGTTACTCACAAAGACTTGTGGAATATAAACCACTATTAAGGGTTGTTCATTACAATGAAGTTCAAGACAATAAGCCAATGGAAGGGCTTTTTTTTCCATTCCACTCTCCCAGAAGATGTGTGGTTTCTGAACTTGAGATGATTTACCATAGTCTCTCATCAAAGACAGGGAAGATAACAGTTTAGATCAGGGGTGTCCAGTCTTGACAACCTTAAGACCTGTAGACTTCAACTCCTAGAACTCACCATGCTGGCTGGGGAATTCTGGGAATTGAAGTTCACCAGTCTTAAAATTGCCAAGTTTGAAGACCCTTGCTTTAGATAATCAGGAGTGAGGTATTGATGCCTTTTCTCTATCCAATTCTTCCAATTCTTCTTGTTCTCACATCTTTTAGAATTGGAACATAGGTTGTAGATTCAAAGTGTAAGACCAAAGTGGTTTCTATGTTCTATGTTATAGCATTCAGAAAAGTTTGACAAAATGGGTACTGTCAAAAACAGTTGGTGGGGACTAGAAGACATGCCTTTTCCGATGGTTGACCAACCTTAGAGCATTCTTCCTCTGAAGATCAGGATGGCCCCAACCTTGCCAGCTTTTCATAAGGCCTTACATACTCAGTTCTATGCCCAAGCTTGGAGGCCCAGGTGTCTGTAGGTGCCTGGTTGTGTTAATGATTGGATTGTTGTTTCTTAACTACTTATATTTTAATTTTTGTAATGCTTGCTATTGTTTTTATTCTATTTTACTTCCATTTGTTGCCCAGAATCATTCTTTGAGATATGAGAATGGGGGGTAAAATAATTGCTGGATCTCAAAGTCTTCTGGGACCGGGAAACACGAGGCCATACATATGGATTGAGCTTATGTATGTTACTAAGGTATGAATTGCCCAAATCAAAGCCACATTATTATGGCTTACTGTGAAGGATGAATCCCCATGAAATTCAAGGTGATCTTTATCTAGCCTCTATTCCCTTCGCTTACGTTCAAGCCATTGGTTGCTTCGTTGCATATTGATTCTATCTTGATAGCTGAATGCCATTATATGTGTACAATGTAAGCTAGTGTTTAATGTTTTCTTTTCTTTATTTTAAATTATGCCCGCTACTTAATGACTACATGACTTCCTCCTTGACATGAGTTTTAAAAACAGTCTTATGTATAATGAGATGGGATTGATTACAAAGATGAGACATCCCTTTGAATGACACCACAGTACTGTTATGATACTTCAAGACAGATGCTGAGCGATCCCCCCATACTTCATCATGAACCATAAGCATGTGGGACTGGTGACTTCATCATTGATTTTGAAATGATGAATCCAGTTTCCAAATTTAAATTGTGGACGGGAACATTCTTCATTACTCAAAATGTTTGGTCCCATCAGTCCATTAGAAGACCTATCAATAATTTGAAAGACATGAATAATTGTACTATATTTATTTATGTACAAGATTTATAATACACTGACTTCTACGCTAAATTCAATTCTGACTTTATGGATCTGTTATCCTGTTCATATATTTTCAATGGTTGGACTCACATGAGCTTCATTCATTACAGGGTACTAATTGGTGCTTGGTACTCGACAGGTCCCTGCCCACTACCTCCATTAAGGATCCCAAATTTGTGGGACTGCTGCATTATCGGGACTCTGGATCAATACAGCCATGGTGGCACAATGGTTACAATGCAGTATTGCAGGCAAACTCTGCACACAGCCAGGAGTTCGATTCTAAGTGGCTCAAGGTTGATTCAGCCTTTCATCCTTCGATAAAATAAGAACCCAGATTGTTGGGAGCAATATGCTGATTCCGTAAATTGCTTAGAGGGAAGCTGTGAAACACTATGAAGTGGTATATAAATGCTATTGCTACTTGACACTGGATTTTTAAGTTCTTGTTTAGCAAAATCTAAGAGGTAGACAGGAAGAACATCAACCAGATTAGTAGTTCTTATTTCTGCTATGTTTACATGTACAGTATAGAAGGAGATGATAATCAGCTTTGAATAATAAATCCTATAAGACATAAATCAATTTATAAATAGTGTAAAAAGTTGTAGGAAGAAAGCAAACTTCCTGCAAAATTTGACAGTATTGTCCAAACAATAAGAAAAAAAATGTACCGAAGATAGGTTAGAAAATAATAAAAGGTGCAAAAAGAGACTCTGAAAGTCATATAACTCATAATTTTAAGAACAACTGTAAAATAAACCTTAAAGTAGATGAAAAATAGAAGGAAGGTGAAGGAAGTTGTTGATCCCCTAGATGACAAGGAATTAAATATATTATTGCTAAAAGTACATACTATTCCTTTCCTGTTCTCCATGTAAGTTTTCTTTGGACATTGTATGGAAATAAACTGTGCATTTTAGACCATTCTCATTCAGCCATTTTTTTTTTCAAATACTTTATTAATACAAAAAAAGAGCATGGGTGATGATGGGTTGATACCCTTTTACCTGATGTTTCGTTAATATATTCAGATGAGATCATTTTAACTGCCAAACAGACTCATTAAAGGGATGCCAAAGCATAACTAGGGAGTCCTTGTCCCAGTTTAACTAAATCACCCCATTCAATTGTATACAATACACGTAGATACAGAAGGTGTCACATATGCACACGGAACCCTATTAGTCTTCCCCTCCACGGTTCCTTCAAGCACCAGCTCTTAATACAATTTTGAGGATTCATTTTCCTAGCTGCTTGTGTGAGGTGAAAGATACATTACTCAGATGCATCATACATTTCACCTCCTGGGACTCCCTTGGCTGACTAAAGCTTTGCTTAGTCATCTATTAAAGTTGACTACCAAAGGGAGGGATGAATGTACAGAATATTGCATATTATGCAGCATTCAGTTTACCCACAAAAGATTAACCCTTCAGGGTATCTTTTAAAAGATTCCAGCTTTCAACCGGCCTTCGCTTGGATTAGAAGCAAACCGTTTGCTGGGTGTATTCGGGAGTCTTCTCAGCAACATGAATACACAGATATTGTAATAAATCAATAGGGAGTTTGCTCCTGGTTGTTGGGTCTCTTTTTTCTGCCAGTCTTCCCAGTCTTTTTTTTATTGTACTATATAAAAATGTCTTAGCGCTTTATTGATAAAAGGCAGTCAATGTGGTGTAGCAGTTGAAAAACTGAACAAGGCCTACGGAGTCTCAGGTTCAACAGCTCGTAAGATGGCTCTGAGGCCTTTGAAGGACTTTGACCCCTCCTTGTTCAGTCCAACCTACAAAAGAGAGTGGTTGTTGTAGGGAAAAGCTAAAGGGAGTGCTGCATAGGCTAAAGAAAGACAAGATAGGAATTGAACAACACCATACTTCCAACAAATAAATAAATACTATTCTATGATTGTGCTTCTTTGTCACCATCCCATAGGGCTATCATAGCTGAGTTTTGGCTATCTAAATGGCCACTAAATGGCAAACAAAAGAGACAGAATGCCTAAGTCTTAGTTGCCACCCAATTCCCATCTTTATTTTTGAGTTTAGATATCATAGCCATGCTATTCCATCTTTTTTGGTGGAGCCATGATTCCCAGCTTTCTGAAAGCGAACCTTCCCTGCTTTCAGGTTCATAAAAGACCAAAATGGGAGTCCTAGTAAAAATCAGAGATGTAGACAAAGTGTTACAATGTTATGCTAACCAATAATTTTCTTAGAAAGAAGGCTTTCCCTTCAGGAAATTCAGCAATGAACACATGCCTGCCGTTTTAGGGATGAATCTTAGGGATCGGTGTCAATGCATGTCCTGGACTTTGTTTGTTATTTCTCCAAGAAAGAAAAATGATTCATCTTTTACTTCTAAGACTGCCTGAAAGATGACTTCCTCTAAAACACATTAAAAAGGGCTTTGCACCATTGTATGTAATATTTCTTTTGAAGAATAGGGATATGTGTTTATACATACATGCCTGTGTGTTCACAGGAGATACATTTGAAGGGCTCAGAACAATTTAATAGGTCCCAACACCACCCTGATTCCACCTCCTGTTGTTCTATATACAGAGTTTAGGATCACAAGGTCTTGAACAGAGTGATCCTTGTACAAACTTCCTTTAGCTTTGTGCCTGAGCAGTGATCCGGTTTGACAGCACAGATTTTGCATTTGACATCTGATGTCCTTGAAGTGATAAGAATCAGATTTGAAAGGAAGGAACTAGATCACCAGCTACCATTAAGAGACCAGTATATATATGTGTTAAATATAATGAAAATACCTTTCTAACCCTGTTAGGAATGAGAATCACCTAACAGTTGGGTTGGAAATATATAAACCAGGATAGTCATTTAATACTGTACCTTTAAGAGAATGCTGTAGTTGTGATTGGCTGAGGTTCCTCCAACGGCCATAAGATGGAGCCAGAAACCTGGTTTCTCTCTTCTTGCATTTCCTGTTTTGCCGTATTGCCTGATCGTTGTTCTGCGTGGATTGCTGTGAGTCTTGCAACTGTTAGCAAACTCCGTTTACTGAACTCTGTTTATGATACTTGACCTTGTTTTTGGATTATCCCTGGACTGATATTAACTGCTTTAACCGTGTATGATTTGGACTGTTTGTTGGACTTTGTTTACCCGTTTACTGGAAGTAAAACCTACATTTTACTTTTCAGTGTAGCTGTATGCTGGTTATGTGTTATTCAACATCACTCTCACTACGTTTCCCTGAGTGCACTCATTCTCCTAACGGGGAATACCTCAACAAACCCTGCTGATCAATCTGGTACTTAGTTTTGATTCTTGTTAGAACAACAATCCTATTTCTTTCAATCTTTCACCCCAAAGAAATGTT